CAAACCAGAGCAGGTTCAGCAGAAATCACTCCCACCAGGAACCCACCCCGAGAGAAGAAGACACCCCCCCCGTTCGCCTTAAGATAAAAAAATTTATTTTTACAGTCTTATAAAGCAGCTTTTACACGAAGCACAAACGTTGACCCATTTCACGTCATATAGAAACATAGAGGAACCTCTCCCTGCTGCAAAAAACTCAGGTTTGGCTGAATAGAAAACTAACTGTGCACATTGTGCTTGGACTGCAAAGGCTGTACAGCTTTACAAAGGACCACCCTGCCCAGAGCATCCTGTAAACAAGTTATTGCATATTTACCACACGGGGAGACACCCCACACGGCCACGGCGGCGCAGGGAGAGCCCAGCACATCGAAGCCCCACGAGGAGGGGGGTGGGAACAGCAGCTCCCAGGGAGCGGCCTGCCCGCTGGGGGGGGGTTGTGCTTGTGTCCCCCTGGGCGGGGGGAGCCGGTGCCAGCCGCGAGTGGGTTCGGCAGAGCCGACATCTCGGGTCGAAGCCTGGGCTCCGAGGGCTCAGTGCCAAAGATCTTGGCCAGTTTGAAGGGGGAAAATCAACCAAAACAACAAAAAAACCAACCAAAAAAAACACCCCAGTTGAAATGGATTGGATGAAGTTTCGGGCACCGTGTCCAGTGATCCTCTTCCACTGCACAACTCAGCTATGGGAATACCAGGAGGAAGACCACACGGATTCCTCACGGTTCTGCTACCTCTGCAGGGACACCCCTGAAGTTCCACCTGTGCTAAGGCCAAGAAAACGCAATGGGATGTTAAGGACTGTGGGGAGGACAAGACCCATGTCCTGTTGGTGTTGGCAGGGCCAGCTGGTGCTGCCAAGCTGGATCAGCCACGCCCCAATCCTGGAACTGGATGTGACCAGGGAAAAACCAACAAAAACTGGAAAACTGTGGCCTCCATAAGGCACCAAAACCATCTCTGGGGTCTCCCCAGATTCTCCGACTCCCACAGGGGCACGAGATGGAGGGAAGCAGTAGGAGGGAGATGTTGCAGGAAGGAGCAGTTTTTGGGGGGGAAGCACGTTTTTAGGGTGGTTTTGTGTGCGCACAGATATGTAACAAAAATCACCTCTGCTACCTTTGGTATTGAAATTCCTCCTCCACCCCCACGTCCCACACGGATCCGTGTGGTGGGAGCGTGGGCTGGAACATCAAGTAGTTCAAAAGTTGCTTCAAATCTCCGCCAGAAATTCCTAAAAAGCATCAAAAATCAAAGCAATGCTCAAATGGAGATGGGTGCTGTCCTCGTGCCCGGCCTCCCTGGGCTTTGGGTGAACGTGTGAAGCCCCAGCTCCATGGACAGCATGGAATGGGAGCAGCGGGAGCCCCACAGTCAATCCGTGTCCTCTCCATGAGTTTGGGGTCAGAGAGAACCCCAGCACGTCCAGGAGGGCTGAGAAGCCAAGGTTTGCTACGTCACCAAACAACCCCCTGGTGCAACCATGCCATGGGTTGGTTTGACTGCTCTGGATCACCCCAGACACCTCACAGCAACGTGGGTGTAAATGTGGGACTGGGAAACACGGGAAGAATCCACCTGTTTTTTTCCCCATCCCAGTGTTTGGGTTGGGACGTGCACAGGGACCACTGGTCACCTGGCAGAGCCACGAAGGCAAATCACACCCAAGAAGCCACTGCTGGAGGTGTAATGACCCCTTACAGTGTGAGACAGTGAATCATGGAATCCTGGAATGGTTTGGGATCGAAGGACCTTAAAGCTCATCCAGTTCCAACCCAGGGACACTCTCCACTACCCCAGGTTGCTCCAAGCCCTGTCCAACCTGGCCAAGGATGGGCCAGCCACAACCTCTCAGGGATTAAAGCCCTCGGGGGTAACTTCAAGTTCTAAAATGTCTGACGGATCAAGCAGGTTAAAAATTAAAATCCCCAGAGGAAAACCTTAATTAACACCGACTGACCTTCCTGTGTGACTCAGGATGGGCCCCACGTCCCACTCAGCAACTCCCGACGAGCCTCCCCAAATAGAAGCAGCCAAAGCTCCCAGAAACCTCCCAGAGGGAATTACAAAACCCAAGACAAGACATCAGGCTCCAGACGAGGGATCCCAGCTCCGGGGTGACACCAGTGAGGGGTGATGGTGACTCTGGGGTGATGAGGCTCAGGCTCTGGGGGCTGTGGGAGCCCACCGAGTTGTGCTTACGTGGCGCCGGCCGCGCCTTCTCCGCCCGCACGTCTGGGAAGGAACCCTGCAGCTAAGGGATCTCCAGCCAGAGGACTGGGAAAAACTTAAAAAAATGTGTATTTTTCACCCCAAGAAATAAAATTCCGATTAAAAAACACCCCCCCCAACCTTTAAAAGATACACTGTGCACTACCCGGGCTACGAGTGAAGTCACATCGACGGCGTCACACCACAGGAGCTGCTCCCACAGAGACACATCATAAACTCACTTTGAGAGGCCACGGATTAACTCTTCAGGCAAGGCCTGGGCTTTCGAGACCTCTATGGCTTCTGCAAACATTTCCCTGTAAAAAAGGAAAACTAAAACCCAACAAAACCCGGCCTCAAACTCAGGAGCACGGAGCGCGGAGGACGGGTGACGCTCCCCGGCCCCAGCCCCTCGAACCCCGAAGGTTCCCACTCCGGAATGCGAGGATTTCGGGAGAGCAGTTCTAAGGATCACTTCTTTGACAGGTCCGGAGGGGAGCGGGGCCATCACCCGGCAGGTGGCTTTGGTGGCAGCTCAGTTGTGCTTGGCCCGCCCGCCCCGCAGGTAACTCTTCCACCTCTTGACGAACTCCTTGAAGATGGGCGAGTCGTCGATGGTGCTGAGGAGCTGCAGCTGGTTGATGTGGGTGGTGTGGTAGTCCCAGCGGGCCAGGTTGGGGGCCGTGCCCAGCATGAAGTGGCGCAGGTCGTAGATGGTGCCCGAGCCGGTGTCGTAGAGCGGCAGCATGGCCTTGAGGGACTCCATGCCGCGCTCGTAGAGCAGCCGCGCCTCGCGGCCCAGCTTCTCGCCCGCCGTCTCCTTCAGGTCGTAGAGCCCGATGAGCGAGTACATGAAGCCGTTGAGCACGAAGGAGCTGGGGGACGTGGGGTACTCCTCGTACCAGTCGTGCCGGTTCATGAACACGGCCTTGACGCCGCGCTGCTCCGCCGGCAGCTTGTAGGGCGCGGTGGCCCTGAGGGCCGCGCCCAGGAAGGCGGCGTCGCGCGTCAGCAGGTAGGCCCGCACCAGCGTGGACATGGCCTGGCCCTGCGCCATGGCCGAGTACCACCCCGGCTCCAGGGACTTGAAGCCCTCCCCCAGCTTCCTGGTCACCATGATGGGCCACCCGCCCCGCTCGTCCTGGTTCCTCACCAGCCAGTCGCTGGCGGCGAAGAAGGCGGCCATGTGCGCCGTGGCCGAGATGGTGACGTTGTCCAGGAAGCCCCTGCCCTTGGCCACCAGCCTGACCACCCGCTTGGGCATGATCTTGGTCTGCTTCACGGCCTTGGTGTTGGAGAGCCCCACGCCCTTGCGCAGGTCGGTGAGCAGGTCCCTGGTCAGGGTGCTCCAGCCGGTGCGCGCCCCGATGCCGTAGTAGATGTCCCTGTCGCGGAAGGCGATGAGCTGCGTGTTGGTCACGTAGTGCACCGTGAACAGCTGGTTCTTCTCCGTCGTCTCCAGCACCACCGAGACGCTGCCGTTGGTCACGAACTTGAGGTCGAAGGAGATGATGAAGTCCCGGCTGTTCCCCAGCTGCAGGGACACCCCCTCGCTGGCGTCTGCAAACAGAGCCCACAGCTCAGCACCCCGATGCCGCTGCCCCCCCAGCCTGGCAGCTCCCCCAGGTAACCCCCCCCCCTTCCCAGGCACGATCCCAAAGCTTTCAGGGCAGCCCATCAATAATTCAGTCGTTTCTGGGCTGTTGCACATTATTTAATTAAGCATAAAAGTAAATCTGGGAGCGAAGGGGAGAACCTGTTTGTGCCTGCCATTAAAGGGCTGCAGCAGCGCCAGGGGCTCCATCCAGGGTTTTATGGGATGTTCCTGGTATCTCATGGATGGAGGAGAGCCATGACCCAGCAGGACCCAGGGATGGGGACAGGGCTCTTCCTGGAATGGGTTGGGTTGGAAGGGACCTCAAAGCTCATCTCATCCCACCCTGCCCTGGGCAGGGACACCTTTCCCTAGAGCAGGACCTTTCCTGCAGGATGGGGCACGGCAAGAATTGAGATGCTCCCTGATTTTCCTCTCCTCTAACTCCACAATAAACCAACAAGCACCCGTTTGTTCCCAAATTAAAACCTCCCTTGGCACCACGACACCAAAACCCGGCGCCGCTGCAGCCTCACATTCCTGAATAAAGCTCTGCTTTCAGCAAAGGGAAAAAAAAAACAGGAATGCCAGAAGCAGGGATTTAGGATCCTCCTGGGACTGATGTTTCTGGGACTTTTTTTGTTTCCAAACCTGACAGTGCCAAAACCTGATCAGTTTAACGGGGGGGGGGGGAACCAAGGAATAAAGGCAGGTGTGTTAAAATACTTCTTTAACCTCTGCATTGGCAAAACTCAGCTTAATTTTAAGCTATAAATTAAATAAAGCTCCCAGGCACTGCCACAGAATAAAATCCAGTGTTCTCTGGATTTGAAAATATAAAATCAACTTCTCCCACAAAACCTACAGAGGGAGATCAAAGGGATAATTAATTTGGAAGGCTGAGAGCAAATCCTGGAGGTTTGAATGCACAGAGGGATGATGAACACTTAAAGAGTGTCACATCAAATTAAGGGCTTTCCATGGGATAAAATTCTCCTGGAAAAGGCCATTGTTTCCCTATTTCTGCTTTGGGATGTGGGAAATACCCCGGCCGTGTTTCTCCATGCAGCTTTTGCTGCTTCCCAAACTAATCCCTGGAATTTTAAAACATCTCCTGTACAGGCTCTGCTGTCCAGTCCCAATTTTTCGTGACTGAATGTCATGTTTTCCAAGCTTTTCAAGGAAAAGCTGGGAGTTTTAAGCTCAGCATCTGCCTTGAGAGAAGGAGCCGAGCGCTTTGGGCCACAACATTTTGCTCCTGTGGAAAAAACCCTAATTAATCCCCACCCCACCCCCCCTCACAATTCCTGTCAAGTGAGTTTTATGGTTCCTTGTAAATAAATTATAACAAAGAGAATTATAAAAGAGGGGGGAAAAAAGAGTTTGGAGAAGCAAAGAACTAAAGGCTGCTCGTGGCTGCTGTGCCTTAAGCACCCATAAATCCATTACTCAGGGCCTGCTCCGAGGAGTGGATGCATATCCATAGCCATGGATTACTCAGCCATCAATAAAGGATGAGGAGAGAACACAGCCCAGACCTTTTATCCTCCCTTCTCCCTGTATTTATCCACTACAAAGACACAAAAGTGTTGGACAACCTTTTCCCGGGAGCCCCAGGGCCGAGGTGCCAACGGAAAATTACTTCATTGTCCTTGGAAGTAATGGACTCATTAATTCCAGTGGGTATTGATTGAGGGAAAATACATTAGGGCCTTATTAATGAGCCTGGCCTGGCAAAAAAAGGGAACTCTTGGATTAAATAATGGATTTCCCTCCTAAATACCAAACGGAATTGGGGGAATCGGGGAGGTGGCAGCAAAATGCAGGCAAGGGAACAACTGGGAGACCCCCAAACACTCTTGTTCTTTCTTTAAGGCAACTTCAGGCTGTGTCAGGGAGGTTTGGGATGGATACTGGGAACAGGTTCTTCCCTCAGAGGGTGCCTGGGCACAGCTCTGGCTCCCCAGGGCAGTGGGTACAGCCCCACAGAGTGTTGGGACAACAATCTCGGACACATGGTGGGATTTTGGGGTGTCCTCGGGGACTTAATCCTTGGGGGTGCCTTCCAACTCAAGCTATTCTGTAATTCTATCTGGGTTTAGCCAGAATTCAGGCCCTGAATTTTACAAAAATAGTTGTATCCCGGTGATGGGAGAGAGATGTCCCAGCCCTGCACGTGCTCCGGGCTGGAAATAGCCCTTATCTGTCATCTGTCAGCATCTGCTCCCCACAGCCCACACCCCACAGCCCAGCCTGCCTCCCAGGCCTCCCAGCTGCTCCCACCCCCTTCTGCAGCTGCTATTTTGAGCCAGGAGCTGGAAGGCTCAGGGACTGTGACTCCTCATCCCCCTCCATGAACACAGCCAGCCTTTCTGCTGGATCAGAGCAGCGCTGGAATCCAGCGACGGGGAGGGAATGGGGGCAAAGCTCCAGAGGGACAGGAATGAGGGGGGCTGGATGAGGTGACCTCCAGAGGCCAGGAGGTGCTGAGTGAAGTGGGGTGAGCTCCCAGGCAAGGTGGGTGGGGGATGAAGGATGGGGAATGAAGGGTAAATGAAAACACACGAATCGATCCCAAGAAGCTGAGGCCCCTCTGGCACAACACGTGCCAATCAACACGTGCTGTTACCTGTGACAGCTTCAGGAGCACCCACCTGGAGCAGAGAACTGTTTGACCCCGGTGAGCCTGGCTTTGTCCCACACTGTGGCCAGGGAGCAGCCCTTGGGCACGGTCCAGTCCCCAGCCCTGCCCCTGTCCTTGTCCTCGGCCGTCTCGTACACCTCGACGTGCGGCGCCTTCTCCGTCAGGTTCTTGCTGTAGTGGCTCAGCCCGTACTGGGCGATCTGGATGGGGTAGAAGTAGCCCTGGGGGCCCCACTGGGTGGAGAGGGGAACTCCTGGGGGAGGAAGGGAAAGCAGCAGGGATCAGCACGTTGCCAGACCCCCCAGCCCTGCAGCTCTGCCAGGGCCTCCTGCAGACCCACCGCTCCTGCCCCTGCAGCAAACGGGGCTGGGAGGGGTCACCACCAAAGTCCTGGTCAAGGACTCACCTGTTCCCTTTCCCACCAAGATCCATAACTAGATAAAACCAAGCATTTTTGAGTGGCAGAGGAATCCTTATCACGGGCTTCCCTACATTCCCAGAATCCTGGAATGGTTTGGGTTGGAAGGGACCTTAAAGCTTATCCCATCCCACCCCCTGCCATGGGCAGGGACACCGTCCACCAGCCCAGGTTGCTCCAAACCTCGTCCATCCTGGCCTTGGACACTTCCAGGGATCCAGGGGCAGCCACAGCTTCTCTGTGCCAGGGCCTGCCCACCCTCCCAGCCAGCAATTCCTTCCCAGTCTCCCATCTGTCCCTGCCCTCTGGCAGTGGGAAGCCATTCCCTGTGTCCTGTCCCTCCATGCCTCATCCCCAATCCCTCTCCAGCTCTCCTGGAGACCCTTCAGGCCCTGCAAGGGGCTCTCAGGTCTCCCTGGATCCTTCTCTTCTGCAGGTGTGCATTCCCAGCTCTCCCAGCCCAGCTCCATCCTCATTCCATTGTCACTGGAGCCTCCCACTTATCTCAAAACACATTTTCAAAGCCTGAACAGATTTTTTTCCCCCCTACTCCAGAGAGCAGTTAATCCCCAAACGCTTTTCCATCCCCACAATCCCTTTAACGTCAGTAAATCTTTGCAAATTAAGTGCATCTGTTATTGGGAGATTTTTCTAAGAGTTATTTGCTGCTCAGAGAGCGATTTACCCTCGGCCACAAATCCCTCCCATTACCCAGCTCCCCTGGGAGCATTCCTGCCTGGAGTGGTGCCTGCAGGAGCCAGCAGGCTCTCCAAGAAGGATTTGCCCTAATTCCACCCTGCAGAGCTGTCCCTTGTCTTTAGAGCTGCTTCCTCCCAGCCTTCCCTGGGATTGTCCCAAAGGCCTCACAGAGGTCTCTCCCTTGGTTTGGGCTGTGGGTGATTTTAGATCTAAAACAACCTCCTGGAGGCACCTCGGAGGAATCAAGCGGGAAAATCACAGAGTTCATCACCTGCATCCTGAATTTTTGGGGTTTTAATGGGATTTTAGGAGTTTTCACGTGGAAACCCTTGGGAGGAGCTCAGTGTCATATAAAACTGGCACCCTCCCTTAGGATCCTCGGGATGCACCTGCAGAAAACCCTGCAGAGCTCCACCTGCCCTTCCCAGCTCCCAGGATTCGGGTGGAAAACCCTCCCTGGCTGTGCGGGAAACGGGAGCAAACCCTGTGGAGGAGACTCATTTCCACATGTTCCTCCAGAGGCAAACACAGGATGTTTAAAACAGGGTGAAATCCTAAAGCCCTGAATTTTCTTTGGAAAAAATTCCCAACCTCTAAACACAAACCCAAAGTGGGAACAGATCACCAGGTCACATTTTGTGGCTCTTAAACCACAGGTTGCAAACCCCCAACATCCATGGACAGCTGACCCCATTATCCAGAGTTAAATTCCCTGGAGCCCCAAGGTCTGAGCAGGGAGCAGCTCCAAACACCCCCGGTGTTCCCGAGGCCGCTGCTCCCATCCTGCCTCTTCAGCCCTTCCTTGCCAGGTGTAACGAGGACGAGAGTTAAAAAATAACAATAAAAATGGGAGAATAACCTCAAACATCCCCCACCCCCCCAAAATTCCATATCCCACAGATCTCCTTATATGTGAACCCTCCCAGCCAGTGAACTCCAGGGCCCAGCAGCTCCTGCAGTGTCCGTGTGACGGGCAGTGAATCCACACCCCGGGAGTGGCACAGGAGGCATGAAAATTAATGGCTTTTATCCCTTAAGTGAAAGTTGGTCTTTAATTTATGAGGGGTCACCGTGTCACGCTCTGTAAGTGCTTCAGAAAGTCATTAATTTTTTAATATGAAGCCAAGAAGAATTTTCTGCCGTCAGGTCCTCGCCGAGCCGTGGGAGGACCCCGAGGGTTAATTAGTGACGGTGCAAATTGGGAAGGTTTGACTGCACCTTCCTGTTATCCAGGGATAATCCAGTGGCTGGAGAGCAGCTTGACCCTTGGGCTGTTCTCCAAAACCTCCTCTCACGGATTTAACCCCCAAAATTAAGGTGCCCGTGAGCAGTTGGGCTGTTCCAGTGCTCGGCCCATGGATTTATCCGTGTCCACAGGGAAGCAGGAGCCTGCTCCCAAACCAAGGCCAGGCTTGCTGGCCTTCTAAAATTTATTTAAAATTTAATTCTGAGTTTAAATTTTAAAATAATTTTTTAATCTGCAGTTCTATTTTTTATTTTAGAAAATGTAATATTTTAACCCTTTGGTTTATAAAATAATTGTGGCTCCCTGGGAGACTCAAGTGTCAACTCAAGATGCCAAACCCTGGCAGCAGCACTACCAGAGCAGTGTCCCTGCACCTCTGGAGCTCACTGCAACTGGGAAAACTGGGAATCATCATGGAATCACTGAACGGGCTGGGCTAGAAGGGGCCTTAAAGCCCGTCCAGTGCCAGCCCCTGTCATGGGCAGGGACACCTTCCACCAGCCCAGGTTGCTCCAACCTGGCCTTGGACACTTTCAGGGATGGGCAGCCACCCTACGGAGCTGGGAAAACGTGGTATGAGGTTGCCCAGAGAAGCTGTGGCTGCCCCTGGATCCCTGGAAGTGTCCCAGGCCAGGTTGGATGGGGCTTGGAGCAACCTGGGCTGGTGGAAGGTGTCCCTGCCCATGGCAGGAGTGGGAATGGATGGGCTTTAAGGTCCCTTCCACCCCAGTCTAGCTAGGATTGATTCTCTGATTCATCCCCAACCTCTTTGCTGCACACCAACATCTCCCTCACAACTTTTCCCTTCTCCCCCCTCACATTCCCCCCTCCCACATTTTGCACCCGACGACCCCGGCGCTTCTGATCCGTCGACCCAAACCCACGATCCCTTTGCAGGGCCCATTTCCAAGCAGCATTTCCCCACCAAAGGACAAGAAAACACTCCACCAACCTTCAACCCCGCTGATGCACTTGACCCTGTCCCGGACCTCGACGTTGTAGCCCTCGAAGGACATGAAGACCCCGTCGGGGTGGTAGGGAGCCCGCTGTGTGTATACTTTGGAGTAGCTATGAGAGAATTCAAACCTGTCATAACCATCGTACTGAGCAATTTTCCCATAAACCTCAAAGTATTTCTCTACCCAGCTGAAGGGCAGGAACACCTCGTTGCCCTCCCTCCGGCCCTTCACGGTGTGCTCCTCGTTGATCACACAGTCAATCTCCTCGTACTTGGGCGCGGGGGCTCTGCCGGCCCCGGCCCCAGCCCCGGCCACGGGGGGTGCCTTCTGCTGCTCCTGGGGGGAGGTGTCCTCACTGTGCCCCCGGGGCTCCTCCTCGGCGCCGCCGCGGCGCTCCGGGCCCGGTGGGATCCGCGGGAAGGGGCCGGCCGTGCCGGGGGAGCAGCGGTTCCACAGCAGCACCATCAGCAGCGTCAGCAGCGCGCACACCACCAGCAGAGTCTTGTAGTTGACCCGAGCTGCCAAGCAACGCATATTCACACCATACCTGCAACACAGCGGGGACGGCGTCAGCGGGGACACACCGAGCTCCTGGGGAGACTCTGCATGGGAACATCACCCCTCCTGCTCCTGGGGGAACATCTCCAGCAGGAACATCACCCCTCCTGCTCCTGGAGGAACATCTCCAGCAGGAACATCACCCCTCCTGCTCCTGGGGGAACATCTCCAATGGGAACATCACCCCTCGTGCTCCTGGAGGAACATCTCCAGCAGGAACATCACCCCTTGTATTCCTGGGGGAACATCTCCAGCAGGAACATCACCCCTTGTGTTCTTGGTGGAGCCTTTCCACAGGAACATCACCCCTCCTGCTCCTGGTGGAGCCTCTCCAATGGGAACATCAGTTGCTCCAAGCCCCATCCAACCTGGCCTGGGACGCTCCCAGGGATCCAGGGGCAGCCACAGCTTCTCTGGGCACCCTGTGCCAGGGCCTGCCCACCCTCCCAGCCAGGAATTCCTTCCCAATGTCCCACCTAATTATTCTCTGACATGGTCCAACACCCTCCTGAGAGCAATTCCATGTAATTCCCGCAGTTAATTCTGATCATGATTTACCTCCCAGGAAGTGCTGGACATTTGCATTCCCTGCAACCCACAGTGTCCACCAGGAAATCCATCAGCAATTCCCTCATTCTCTGCTCCCCTCAAAGCTCCAATCTCTGGGAAGCCCCAAAGCCCCCAGTTTTGCCTCACTGATGTTCTCAGTTTATTACTGGCACATCCCATTCCCAGCCCTATTCCCAAGGGATGCTTTCATCACCTTTTCCATTCCCTGTGCAAAGAGCAGAGTTTAGGGGAGCAACAGAGCAGAGGAAGAAATAAAATCCCAATTAAATTAAGAGGAACTGGCTAAAAATGCCTCATTTTTCATGCTTGGAACTCCCTGGCACTTATTTCCCAGGAAGGAACAACCCATGGCAGTTCCTCCATCACAGAATTCGCATTTTCGGTGAAATTCTGCAGCTTCACCAAGTGAAAGGATTCACAAATCCTGGCTTTATTCAAGTCCAGCCCAAGGGCTGAGCTGGATTTTATACTAGGAACTTAAATCTTTTTTTTACCTTTTACCTTTTTAATCCCAATTTTTTTACCTTTTTTTTTTTCTCCCAACTTCCAGAGCTGACGAACAGGAGGAGGAGAACAGAACGAGAACTGACAGAAAAGCTCCTTGAAGAACAAACTGTGAATTATTTTTTAATCCATGACAGCCAATTATTGAACTCCAGGAGGAGATTAATATTAAATATCCAATAAACAACAGAAAATGACCAGACCAAGGGCAGAACAACTGCTGAGCAGAGAAAACTCTGCCAGGGAACTCTACCTTCAGGTCAGTGAAGAGTAAAGAGGAGTCCTGGGAAAAACTGGAATAATTCTGTGTTCTGATCTCCCAGATCCTTTGGTTCCCTGCTCCAAACAAAACTGTGTCCCCTTCCAGGCCATCCCACATCCCTGAGGACACACTCTCTGCTCCAGGGCTTGGGGCTCAAACCCAGCTGGTAAAATCTGACAAATCTGGGGTTTTGTTGGGTTTTTTTTGGGTTGTTCCTTTTCTTTTTGCAGGGGTATTTCTGTCATTTCCTGGAGCACTCGATCTCATTCCAGCCCCGACTAATGGAGGCTGAAGTGGTTTATCCTCACAAAGGGTATCCAGGAATCCCCTCCAGGAATTCCTTTTTTCAAGAGGTAGTAATTGTGGTGAAATCAGAAAAAAAAAAGTGATTCCTCTGTGCTGCACAACGTTTCAAAACAGTTAATGGAGGGTGGAGGGCTCAGTAATGGCTCTTTTCAGTTTGTCCAACAGCTGAAATCTGAAACTTGAAAGTTCCTTTTACTGTGGCAAAAAAAAAAAAAAAAAAAAAGGTCTGGATCCATCCTGTGACTCTGGCATTGAGAATTTAGGTTAAATCATAATTATCCTCAAAAAAAAAAAAGTCTCCATCTCTCTTCCAAAGCAAGTTTCCCTTCTCCAGCTCAACCTCAAGACACAGGAATTCAACCCCGAGGAAGAAAAGAGCCTCAAAAAACAAGAGAGAAAAGGTTTCACCCCACCTGGATATCGTGGAATGGAAGAAATGGAAGGGAGGAGGCAGTTCCCAAAGTGCCACATTTTCCACACTGGTCCATCTCTGGCCTTCAAACCCCCTTCTGGCTTGGCCTTCCAGGTTGGAGGTGCCACCAACCCCGTTCCTCAGGGTGTTTTGGGAATGTCAGAGTCCGGTCCTGCCTCCTCCTTCCACCCCCTCAGAGCTGGGAGAGGGTTCACTCTGATCCTGTGGGATGAGGGGGGTTTGGATGTGGGGATACACTGCGGGGTGATGCTCTCCTGGCAGGGGTGGGATCCAGGGCAGGGATCCCATTCCATCCTCCATCCACGCCCCAGCCCGACCCTCGCAGGCTCCGCAGGCACGGCCGCTCCCGGGCTGCAAAGGGAGATGAAACGGCTCCAAAGGGCCTGGAATCACTGCAGAGGCAGGAGAAGAGGCTTGTGTAACTTCCTTTTGGGCAGAGGAGGCCTTGGATAACGTTCCTGTGCAGGAGGGAGCTCTGCCAACGTGCCAGATCCTCGGTTTTTTATGGAAGCTGAGCAGCTTCCCGAGGTCTGCCCAGTCCCTCCCTTACACCTCCCTGTGGGCAGCAACTGCTGCACCAGCTGATGCCCAGAGGGAAAACCAGTCCCTAAACCCCACAAATCACACTTCCCCAACCATCACAGAATCCTGGGATGGGTTGGGTTGGGTTGGAAGGACCTCACAGCTCATCCCATTCCCCCTGCCCCTGCCTGCTCCAGGCCCTGCCCAGTATCCCCTGGATAATTCTCCTCCCTAAAAGCCTGGCACCCCCAGGACTGGGAACGTGGTGCTGAACCTCCTTTGCCTTTTAAAAATCCCATTTAATGAAGAGGTGGATGGTGGGGGATTAAAAACCCCCGGCTCTGCAGCCCCAGCCACTCCCCAGGGAGCAGCACTCGGGGATGCTCTGCCCTCCTTCCCAGGCAAGCAGCAGTTTATTTTAGGCAAATCCATCCAGCAGCACAAACCCTCCAGGAAATCAGCAGAGATTGTTTAAATCCTTGACTCTTCAGCTCCATTTGCTGCAGATTTCTCCTTGGCTCCCAACTTGCCACGCCGTGGTTGCGGAAGGGACCGGCTTCGTCCAACTGCAGTTAAAGCGTCTGTGCTTCCTGCTTTCCCTCTGCTCCATCTCCCAAACCCCCAGTTCTTTTCTCCTCTTCTCTTCTTGCCTCTTGTTTCCCAGGAACGAACCTACAGGGATTTCCCTGTGACTTCAGAGGCCCCTTTTAACTCAGAAAAGCATCCTTGGAAAACGGGGACGTTTTTCCAGAAGCTGCACAACACAAATCCACAGAATCCAGGGATTTACCTACTAATTCTCCTGGAATTCCATTGATGAAATGTTCGTAGGAACAAGCAGCAGAGAAAGTTCCCTTATTGAGTTGTTTTCCTGCAAAAAGAGGCCACGATTCCCTCTGTCTTCCCCGGTTTCAGGTAACAGGGAATGATTTGTGAGGGATGTGGGGTCTTTGATCACTGCTGGGAGCCTGAATGTAATGGATTATAAACTGCCAAGCTCTCCCATGTCACTGAATAATGGATAAATATGGAGATGTATTCACACAAACACAGGGATAATGCACTGGGAGAGCGAGGTAGAACCAGCAGGAAAACATCCTTTTCTTCTCCCAAACAAATGAAATTGTTACTAATTCATACATCCATTCCTGCTGCCCAAACCCCTCAGGTCTGTGGTTTCCCTGTTTTTCCTCTGCAGGAGCAGGAGTGGATTTTCACACGGAGATAAACATCCCAATCCCAGCGTCGCCTCCTCCTCTCCCCCACAAAGGTGGGAGCGAGGAACACTTCAAAGGGAGAAGGGATAAACAGGAAGGATGAAATAAGGCAGCTATTCTGGGGAGAAGCAAAGCAAACTTCCAGAAGCTTTGTGAACAGCTGAGCCAAGAGGCTATTTGGGAGCTCCAGAAGGGAACCCATCCAGGGAACCCACATCCAGGGATGTTCCTTCAGCCTGGGGACTGCTGGAGGCTCCAACCCGAACATTTAAAGAGTTTACTGCATTTTTGGTAAAAATACCTTCATTTTGGTGAAAGCTCTTCCTCCAGAGAGCCAAACCTACTCAAATCTTGCACTGCTTCAAATTTAACCTCTCCAATGACCTGCAGAACAATTGGATGGTGATGGGCAAATCCCAGCCCTGGAAGTGTCCAAGACCAGGCTGGATGAACTCGGAGCAACCTGGGCTGGTGGAAGGTGTCCCTGCCCATGGCAGGGAGTGGGACAAGATCCTCCTAAATCTCCCAACCCAACCCATTCCACGATTCCATGATCTCCTAACACGTTATTGAACACATATTTAATATCTCCCTTGCCTTTTTTTTGCTGCCTCTTCACCATTTTATCCCAATTTATACCCTTCAAGCCCTGACAGATGCAGCTCCACGAGCAGAATTCCCTCCCAGGTGGGTTCTCTGGGGGGAGCTTTTTTAACCCTTTGATCAACTGGCACCAGCCCTGCCAAAAAAAACCCCTGCCAAGGTTTTCTTTCACCCTGGGGATGAAAGCCTGACAATGGAAGTGCTGATGGTCCCGTTTCCCTGCCCACATCCAGCAGGACTCACTGCCTCGTGCAGGACAGAGCCATTCCCGGTGGTTCTGCAGATTGAAAGGGAAGAGGCTTTTCAGAGCCAGCATTTTGGGTGCAGATGGGAGCGTTGGGAGCAGGCCCAGCTCAGCACCTCGCCCTCCTGCACCCCCAGAGCTCCCAGGCTCTGCATTCCAGGCTCTCCCATGGCTTCCAGGGAAGGTGGTGGTGCCTGGACACTTCCTGAAGAATCGCAGGATCCTGGGATGGTTCAGGTGGGAAGGGACCTTACAGGGTTCCACAGGGGGTGTCACTTCTGCCCTTGCTGTTTTCAGGGAAGATGGTGCTGGAGCCAAAGAATCACAGAATCCTGGGATGGGATGGGATGGGATGGGATGGGATGGGATGGGATGGGATGGGATGGGATGGGATGGGATGGGATGGGATGGGTGGGAAGGGACCTTAAAGCTCATCCAGCCCCACCCCCAGGGACACCTTCCATCAGCCCAGGTTGCTCCAAGCCCCATCCAGCCTGGCCTTGGACACTTCCAGGGGCAGCCACAGCTTCTCTGGGCCCCCTGTGGCTCACAGGGAAGGATTCCTTCCCAATCTCCCATCTCTCCCTGCCCTCTGGCAGTGGGAAGCCATTCCCTGTGTCCTGTCACTCCAGGCCCTTGTCCAAAGTCCCTCTTTCCTTACCCAAGTCCTGCCTCACTCCTGTAGCCACCTCTGTGTCAGCAGGCGTGGAACACTTGGGAATTCCAGCTTTCCAAGGATGCAGTGCATGGAACACTTGCAGAACCTGCTCTGGCCACCCAGAAACTCCAAACCCAGCCAGGAGGGAAAACAACCCAGTGTGACCTTGCCTGGAGGAACTGCTCCCACAGCTCCCAGCCGTCCTCAGCGAGGACACGGAAGCACTTCCAGCCTCCTGCTGGCTCCTGGGCCTCTTCCAGGGGATTTCCCCTCAGAGAGGCTCTGCCAAAATGGGAATGGTGGGAAGAGAAAGGAGGATTTGAAGTGCAGAGCATCAGTAACCCCTCAGGACACAGGGGCAGGAATTCCCAACATCTCTGGCACCTCCTAAAGCAGGAGCAGAACCAGCCCAGGGAGCAGAACCCTCCAAAAACGAGGGCACAAGCCAGCCAGGGGGAGCTGTTAGTCCAGTTAATTATTGACTGATCCCAAAGCCTTCCTGCCAGAGAGAAAACAAACCAGGAATGTCACCTTGTGGGAAGGACAAATTTCACCTGGTGGGAGGGACAAAGTTCACCAGGTGGGCAGCAAAGGTGTTTTTGGCTGCTGGGCAGAACTTTGCCGGTGGCAGGGCAGGGACAGGGGGCTGGCACAGCCCATAATATCCAGGCAGGTCAGCTTGGAATCCACCGTGGAATCCACCAGGAACAGGCTCTGGATTAACCAACGTTACAGCGCATTGAAGGACTTATGGAGGGAGTTACTGAGGGGGTTTAAAGCACATTTAGGGACTTATTTGAGGAATTATTGAAGGGCTTAAGAGCACATTTAATGCCTTATTTCCACAAGGCCCAAAGCAGATATCATTATTATTATTATTATTATTATTATTATTATTATTATTATTATTATTATTATATCATCATTATAAATTATTACTATCACAGCAAAGGGCTGGAATAGACACTAAAGCTGCTCAGTCCTGGTTTGTCAGGAAATGCTAAAATCCTGTTCCACACCAAATACAGAGAAAATGAAAAGATAAAATAATATAGCTTGTTAACCAGATAATATTATATCCTATATAAAGATATGTAGATATTAGATACCATATAAAATATGTATATATTATATATTAGTTTAAATGTAGAATATAAAAATATGAAATGTCTAAAGAGATGTAAAATATATCTAAAAATATATAAAAATATATTAAGGCTATTTTAAATATATACAAATATATTGGAAATATAAAAATTTTTAAAATACATAAAATATATATAATATATAAAGATACATAAATTATATGAAATTACATAAAATATATGAAAGTATAAAGATACAAAAATATATAGAAACATGTAAGATTGTATAAAAATATATATCTATAAAATAAAGTGTGGAACCAATGCCAAGAACTCCTGAGCTGCTCTTCCCTCTGGCACATCCCTGATTCCTCCATCCACACCTCCTTCCCTATTTTTCCTGCTGCAAAGTCCTTCCAAACAAATTAAAGAACAAGCTCCAGATGGGAGTGATTCCCAAAGGCCAAAAAACAAGGTTCCCAAAAAGCTGGGAATTTTTGCCAACATCATCCCTTCCTTCCCAACCTCCCTGGGATTCTTAAGCCAACCCTGAACTCTGGGATAATCGATATCCAACAGTTCCAACAGCAAAATAATCCCCATTTCCTCCTTGAAATCCCTGCCTCAGACCATCCAGCACTTCCAGGGAAACAGGAGGATGGGAATAAATCTGCTTTTCCCCCAGGATTTAATCCAGACTCCTAAATACGCAAAATTCCCACATTAAGGCTTTTTAATTTCCATCATCTTAAAACTCCATCTGCCCCTCCCAGTTCCCATCTCCAGCTGCTTCCACGAGAAGGAAGAATACCCAAATCCCTCCACTTTAAAGACAAAACCTCCCAGGAGGAGCAGATGCTGGGAACGTTGGAGAGGTTACGGATGGAAAACCCAGCAGGAAAACTTTATTCCCTGGGAGCAGGAGCGTTGCTGATGCTCTTAAACCCCACATTCCATGGGCAGTTCAGCCTGGAAAAGCCTGGGAAGGACCAGGAGTTTGACAGGTCCAGAGAACACTTGGAGAATCAGAGCAAGGGATGGGAGAGGGAACGTTCCAACCCCCTAATCCCAAGGGATTCCAGGGGTTTGTTTTCCACTCCAGCTGCTCGGAGCAGAGGCTGGACACAAAATGGATGCTTTCCCAGGAAACACCACCTGCATTCCCAAACTATCAAAAATTCATTTCCTGGAGATTCTAATTGTTCCCACAGATGCTCTCGTGGCTCATTCCAAAGGATTCAAAGAGTTCCCTGCACGGAGGGATTGGGAATGACAGCTCAGCCTCCCAAACCTCAGCCCAGCCTTGGGAATTCTGCCTGAATTCGGCAGGAAAAGCCTGGAAAATGCAATTTCCCCAGTCCAGATGGGGCCCACCAGCCCAGATTAATTCCTGGGGAGAAGCCTGGAGTTGCCTTTAATCCCGGAAAAATGCTTTGGAATTACTTGGCTGGTTCAGCAGCTTTTGTGTCTCAGTTGAACCTCTGGATTTTCCAGCTTTCTTCAGGCATTTCCCCTTTGGAGCTGGGCTTTTCCTGAAGTTGTGGGACAAACCCCAAGTACCAAAGAAACTGGTGAAGGAGAAAAATAATCCCTAAATTTTGTGTATTTGAAAATCAGAGTCGTGGGATCATAAAAATCAGGGAATTTGGCTGCGAAGGAGCTCAAAGCTCATCGAGTCCCCACCCCCTCCCCCACGGAAAAACCAAGCTCCAGTTTAATCCCTGGATTTTCCAGTATCCCAAAGCCTCCCTGCAAGTACAACAGGTTCAATCCAGCCTTTTCCATGCTCAGTCACGGATGATGAGATCCCACGTGCAAAGGAAGGGAATTACCACCTTTCCCACCTAGAACAACCCCAGCCCTGCTCTCCCGAGCTCGGGATAATTCCCATGGATGCTCCCGAGCCCTCCCACCGGAGTCACTCATGGATACCATGGAAACGCAGCTCCAGCTCCCAAAACGGAGGGAATTCCGCACTTCCCACCTCTCCCCAGGTGAGGTTCCACCTCCTCCAGCTCATTCCAAGCCCGGAACGCTGCAGGAGTTACTCGCAGTCTGAAGGAAAAGCTCTGGAAATCGGGATTGAGGCTGGAAAGCCCAAACCCCCCCACCCCGAGCTGGAGGAGCTCCCGCTTCCCGTTATCCCCCCACTCCTGGAAGCAGAGCCATGTGCAGCTGCAGCTGCGAGTCCTTCCCCGGGATCAGCATTAACCCTTTAGGGAAAGGCTGGAATCCCAGCCAGGAATTCCAGCTCACCCAAAACACGCACAGATTCCAGCCGGGAACGAGGAGGAGGAGGAGGAGGAGAAGAGGCTCCTCTCTTACCTTGGGAAAGGGAGGGCCGGGAATTCTAACGCATCTCCGGGTTTTCCAACTTCCAAAAGAGATCCCTTGGAGGTTCCCAGCGGTCTCGGTCTCCGTGTGCCTGCGGGGACGTGGGGAGAGGGACAAGAAGGGAAGATTGGAGCGCTGGAGGAGCCTCTGGAGCGGAGCGGGGCGTTCGCCTCCTTTATCCCTCAAATCCTCTTAGCAAATCCTGGCGCTTCCCAAGGCAGCCGAATCGCCAGGCTCGGCTCCTGCCCTGCAGCATCACGGCAGGCTCGGGAGCAGGGATGTCACTTCCTCCAGCAGCACATCCCGCCCAGCTCCGGAGCGAATCCCGAATCCCGAATCCCGAATCCCGGCATCTGCCCGGCCACAGCTCCCGGGAAACGCGCCGGGAAAATTCCAGCTCCCGCTCCAGCCACGGGATCCCGGCTTTGGCTCAGCCCTGACACGCCAGGGGGAGAATTCCAAGGGAAAAAAACGGAGAGGGGAAAGAAATTACAGCTGGAATTATGAACTGAGCTCCCCCGATTCCACGGCTCTGGAATTACGAACTGAGCTCCAGAGGAGATTTAACTCCTCCAGCTCCATAGCTCTGGAATTCTTATCTGAGCTCCAGAGATTTAACTCCCTCAATTCCACGCCTCTGGAATTACGAACTGAGCTCCAGAGGAGATTTAACTCCCCAAATTCCACATTTATTGACGGCCTGGTCCAGCCCCCAAATATTTCCAGAGGTTTTTCCCAGCTTTTTTATCACCGTTGCCTTTCCCTGCCCAAATCCAACAGGAACAAACCCCCTGGAGCTTTCCAGATTATTTATTCCTTTTTTTTTTTTCTTTTAATGTGGCTGAACATTCCTTAAAAAAGGAACCACCCTGACCACACGTGATCCACTGATTCCCCAGGAACCTCAATCCCATGGAATTAACTCCTAATCCAGCCTTTCAATGGGCTCTGCCCTTCCCAAGCAATCCCTCCCTGATTAACTCCCTGCATCCTTTCCTTGCTCCAATCCAATTCCCAACCTCCAATCGAACAAAATCTCCTCTGGAGATTCCAGTTTCCCTGGAACAGGCTTTGATTTCCAAGGATTCTTCACATCTCTAAGCAAACTGGATCCCACCAGAGGGGGTTTATCCAGCCACTTCAATCCCATTTATCCACTATCCAACGCCCACCTGGACCTCTGAGAACTCCACTGGAATTTTCTCCTGGAATTAACCTCAAAAACCAAATTTATTCCGACGCCACCGGAGCCCGGGTGGGATTTTTCCCTCTAATCCTCCTGCTGGAGCCTGCACTGAACAACCAGAGCAGCTCCAAGAGGAGAGCTCCCAGAGCACAGATCCCAGGTTTTGGAGCAGGAATCAGGGAATATTTCCACAGCAAAGCCCTCCAAGGTCACCCACCACCACCCCAGAGCACCCAGTGCCACATCCAGTCATTCCCTGGACACCTCCAGGGAATCCACCACCTCCTGGAGCCCATTCCAACATCCAATCACCCTTTCCCTGAGGGAATTCCTGCTGAGAATTCCTGCTGATCCTCATCCCAGCCAGCCCCACACACCCCATGGATGGTGCCACATGTCCCCACACCGTGGCTGAAGATTCCCTCTGTTTCTTCCTCTTTTAATCCCTCCCTTATTTTTTGGGAATATTCGGGAGTGATCTGCTCTTTTTCACACTCTTCAGCCTCTCCCTCCAACCTGACCCTCCTGAAGGCTCCAAAATTTCCCTGGCACCGTTTCAAGCAGCCCTAAAAACCCCAGGAGCGCTGCTCAAATCCAGCTCCTTCCCAAAAGGGACCTTCTGGAAGGCTCTTCCCACTCCAGTCCCTTCCCTGGGATCCACTGCCAACTTTTCAGAGTAACCACCAGCACTTGGGAGGTTTGACTCAAGGCACGAGTCCCACCTGGATTTGCACATTCCTCCTGGTTTGGGGCACAAAAAGGGGGAAAATGTCCCTGGGTTTTGCCAGGAGAAACCTCCAGGAGAGGGATGGAGAGCTTGGAGCAGCTCCAACAGGGAATGAGAGGGGAAAGGGCAGGAGAAGAGGCCTCGGGGCAGCTCTGAGGGTGCAAAGCTGCTCTTCCCAAATCCAGGCTGCAATCCTGCTGCTTCCAGTGCCCTGCAGGCTGAGGGGAAAGTTCCTCCCCGTTTATCCAGGGATTTTAGGAATAAATCACTCAAAGAGGGATTTTGGCCACGTTTTGCCTCTCAAGCCCATCTGCTCCACTTGGACCTTCCCCAGACTTCACTTTGGGTCCATTTTGTCCCACTTCTGAACTTCCAAAGCCATTAAATCCGTGCCCTGGGGGACGAGGAGCCTTGGCTGGAATTGCCAGGATGGGATCCGTGTCCCAGACCAGCTGGGGCTGAATCCACGTGAGCCACAGGCACGTGGTGGGTTCCAAATCCCGCAGACAAACAGCCCAAATTCCCCCTGGAACATGGAATCCTCTTCCTGGACTGAGGGTCATCCTTCCCAAAACCCCGTGGGAATAAAGGATCCTAAAAAAGCAAGGAAAGCAACGAGTCTTCCCTTTTTAAACTGTTTTTTTTTTAACATTACATTGAATTTTTGATTAAAAAAAGGATTTTTGGAGCTGCCTGGGGAAGGCAGAGCCTTTCCAGGAGCAGGGCAGGGATGTTTCCACTCTGGGAAGCTGTTCCAGGGGGAATGTGCAGAGCTGTCAGTCAGAGCAGCTGGAACCAGGGCAGACAAGGGCACAGAGCAGCCCCAGGGGACTTCCTGCACATCCTTTTTGATGCTGCAAAACTGTGCCAAGAAAATTAAAATCTTCTTGGATTTAGCTGGAATTGCCTGAGGGAAAAATCTTGGGAGAAGTGGCAGTAAAATTCGGAATTCCCTGCCCAGCTTGTCGGGAATTCTGTGGGTGTTAAAGCTCAGTGCATCCCAAGTGATGCCCAGCAGGATAATCAGGATTTGCTCCAGTGGGAAACCAGCAGGACCGGTCTGAGTCGGATTTAATGAGGGAAAAAAATGGGATTTTCCGGGTTCGTGGCTGTCCTGGAGCACAAACTGATTCACTGGAATGTCAGAAAAGGGCATTTTAAAGGAGCTGTGACAGCAGGGATTAAGTCCAAGCAAAATCCATGAGCTGTGGATGCACCTTGGAGTGGAAAAAACCCTGGATGAGAACCCAGAACTCTAAAATCCAGGTCAGGGAGAACCCAGCTGTGCCCACACTATGAAAAGGGGGAACTGACAGTTCTATTTTTCCCTGAAATCAGTTAAAAACATCTATAAAAGAGGGTTTTGGGATTAAACAAGCGGATTTAAGGGCCAAGGAGAATTTGGGATGGGTGGGAGCCTGGAAACCCCAAAACCCCAGGAGCTGTGAGAACATGGAGAGGGAAAACCTGGCAGTTCAGGGCTTGAATATTTAATTTTCCAGCACTAAGCAGATCCAATTTTGGGCTCCTGATGCTGTTCCCTTAAAAACACAGATGGAATTTGGTGCCAGGGAAATGCAGGATCACCAAAGCCTTTAAAAATTCAAACCAGTGGCTCTGCAAATGATCCTAAAGTTCCCCTTTTTCCAGCCACCAACACCACCAAAAATACAGGTTAAAAAAAAGGTATTTCGGGAAAAGACTTGAGAACCCCCCAGCACACCCTGAACTCCCAGCTCTCAGCAGGGAGCTGATCCCAATCCCACCAACAAGTGTCCCAAGGCTCTTGGTGAAGTAAAGGTGAGGGAATTCCTTACCAAATCATGGAATCTTGGAATGGTTTGGGTTGGAAGGGACCTTAAAGATGATCCCATCCTTAAAGATGATCCCATCCCACACCTTCCACCAGCCCAGGTTGCTCCAACCCGGCCTTGGACACTTCCAGGGATCCAGGGGCAGCCACAGCTTCTCTGGGAATTCCATCCCAGCCCCTCCCCACCCTCCCAGCCAGGAATTCCTTCCCAATCTCCCATCTCTCCCTGCCCTCTGGCAGTGGGAAGCCATTCCCTGTGTCCTGCCTCTCCATCCCTTGTCCCCAGTCCCTCTCCACTGTCATTTTCCTCAATAATAAAGTGTTGTTTTTCCCTAATTCCTCCCTTTTCCCGAGGAAACTGTTCCTTTAAGCCTCCAGTTCCGGGGAGGCTTCATGTGAACATTCCCGAGTGCTGCTCATCCTCAAAGCCAGGCTTTAAACAGCTCCAACACTTGGTGTTTGGAAACAAATTCCCCATCTGCCAAGGCTTTGGAATCGTTACATTCCAGGCAGGATTTGCTCTTCTCAACCCATTTCATGTTCAAGGGGGAAAAAAAAAAAAACCACCAAAACCCCACCATTTCATATTCAAGGAAAAGCTCCAGAAGGGCTTAAAAATAATCCCTTCCCTCCCTTCCCAGCTCCTCTTGGTTTCCTGGGAAGCACCACTTTGCTGTGGCAGGAGAAGGAGCACTGGGATCCACCTGGATCTTACATTTCCTCCAGGAAAACGCTGGCATTTATAAATTAATCACAGCATTCCCAAAGAACTGACCTACTTTGCTTGGCCACCAAGGATTCGCTGCATCCCAGCTCTGGAATAACCCCCCTGCCAGTGGGAGTGGGAAGGCACAGGCTGGGATTCCATGGAAAAGCGTTGCTCAGCTCTGGATGAGCCCCAAATCCCAGGGAACACAGGGAACCAGAGCCGGTGCCGGGCTCTGGCACCTCCCAGCCCCTTCTCCAGGAACATCCCCAATGGAATCACCGGATCCTGCCGGGCAGGGAAACCCTGGGATCAGGTGAGCCTCATCCAGGACTTTGCTCCTCGAGCCAATCTCTCAATCCCAATCCAAACATCCCATCCCTGGCAGTGTTCCAGGCCATGCTGGAGCAGCCTGGGGCAGTGGAAGGTTGGAACAAGAGGAGCTTTAAGGTCCCTTCCAACCCAAACCGTTCCAGGATTCCAGGATTCTGTGAGACCACACGCACAATTCCCGATTTCTCAAACTCTTCCCTGCCATTTTCCACCTTCTCAACCCAAAATTTCCCAAACCAGCTGAAGTTCAACTCCAGAACCACAAACGAGGGGGGAAGAAAAGGTGCCAGACTCGGGAGGAGACACCCATGGAAAAGCTCCTTCCCTTTGGAATGAGCAGGGAGCTTTCTTTCCAAAGGCCTCATTCCCATGCACATCATCACCTCCAGTATTCCCACCCGGACATTCCCATTTTCATCCCCGCCCAGGAGCTTCCCGTGGTTTGGGAGGGAATTCTGTGGGATCACCGCTAAGTTTCCCATGTTTGTTCATTGCTTTAATGGCCCAATTTTACTGGGGAGCGTCAGAGAATCCCAAAATGGCAACAGTGGGAAAGGGGAACATCCTCTGCCACCTCAGGGCCGCTCACAAAGCTCAGGGATGAGTCAACTCCCTTTGAATCCGGCAGGAACCGGCTCGGAAAGTTCCGACTGCGGCTCCGAGGGGAAAATTCCATCATCAAACCCCCAACACCCAAAGAACCCGTCAAAGGAACTCCACGAGAAGATTCCTTTTCATCTTCAAGCTCAATTAAAAGTCCAGGGAAATGGAGCCAATTTACTGGAACCTCCGAGAAATCCAGCTCATTATTCCCTTTCCCAGGGAACCGAGATCCGGAACAGCAGAAATAGGAGAAAAGCCCCAAAAATGAGGGGAAAAGCCCCAAAAATGAGGGGAAAAGCCCCAAAGCAGCAGCTGGAGCATCCCCTGCTCCTGCTCCCGTGGGATCACAGCCCTAAAATGGCACTTGGAGGTATTTTTCCCACATTTTTCCCTCTTTTTCCTGAAGCTGCCATCCCAAAATGCTTAAATTATTCCCTATAAAATCAAGCCTTCCTGACCTGGGAGAGCACAAAGCCATTCCAGGAGCTGGGAAAGCTGAAATAATCGTGGAAGTTCTGACCTCTCTTCGTCAAAAGCTCCGAAAAACCCCTGGATCAGCAGAATTCCCCTGACCTTGGCTTTATTTATTGATTCCCAACAGTATTCCAAGGGTCACTGCGGGGGAAATAAAGCCTTTCCCTGGACAGTTTTATCCAGGAGAAAGAAAGGGCCAAATTCCCCCCTAATTATGGGATTTCTCCCTGTTTTCCACAGGTGTGTGCCCTGGAAGGAGCTGAGTCCATCCAGTCCTGGAATGTTCTCCTCATCCCAGCCCTCACTCAGCTCTTCCCAGAATTAGTATTGTTTGGATTCTCCCCTTCCCTGGCAGGAAAAATTGGTATTATTGGAATTTCCTCCCTGCCTGGCAGGAGGATCACCAGGTTTTCTCCTCTTCCTGCTGTTCCAGAGGGAGAGAATTCCCAAAAAAAAAAAAAAAGAACGTACAGGCCACGTCTTGGAATTAAATCCCGTTCAGGACTCACTGATCCCACAGAGAATTCCCAGAGCGCCCAAACAAATCGATCCACCTGTTCCAGCAGCCACAACCTCACCTGGACTCTTCCCACAAACAGCTGGAATCACCCTGCACCTTCCAGAGGCACCTGGAAAACTCCTGCTCTCCCAGAGGGAAGTTCCAAGGCTCGGTCTGACAGCCCTGGAGCTCCCAGTGGGAAATTAAGGACCAGGACAACATTCCAAGGAACACCCTGAGCCTGGGAGAGCCTCCAGGTGGGATCTGCCATCCCTGAGGCCTCGGTGAGACACAAATCCATGGGAAGCAGCGGGATGGAGCACGGGATTCCCAGGGATTGGAGCAGCCTGGGAACAGGGAAGGTGTCCCTGCCCACGGTCCTGGGTGGGCTTTGGGGTCCTTCCCACCCGAACCATTCCAGGATTATCCCAGGAGCACACCCCGTGTCCCAGGAACACCCCCCTTCCAGGGCTGAGAAGCCCCTGGAACACCACACACCGGCATCTTCCAGGACTGGGAGCCCTCCATGATCCCCACTGACTCCCCCTGGAGTTTGGATCCCCCTGGATTGGGGGTTTTCCAGGCTGGAAGGGTCCCGGCAGTTCCTCAGCACCACAGCCGGCATTCCCACATCCCAGGGCCCCTATTCCCACATCCAACAGCTCGGATTCCTGCACCCCACATCCCATATTCCCACTGCCCATATTCCCGCATCCCCCAGCCCGTATTTTCCCAGCCCGTATTCCCGTACCCTCCAGGCTGTATTCCCACATTTCACACCTTGCATTCCCAGATCTCACAGCCCGCCTTCCTGCACCCCACGGGCCCTATTTTCCCAGTCCCTATTCCCAGTCCCCTTTATCCCCCATTCCCACGTTCCATGCCCGGCATTCCCAGCCCCTATTCCCATGCCCGGCTCTCACACCAGCCCAGCCCAGC